GTAGTACAGGGCAACAGAATCAAAATTAGAATAGAGCGAATTCTCGGCAGCCAAGGAAGAATTATTCGGCTGAAGATTATGAGTGATTGTAAAGGAGTGATCAATAAATCCAATCATCTAATCCAAACCTCGTTTATTAGTCACGCCCATAAACACAAGACAATATTAAAGTAGGCTGTCGAAACGAAAGTTATAAAATGGGATATGACGATGGTTTAATTCCATGATATTTTGGGGGGAAAAATAAATGAAAATGATCTGCCCTTACATAGTGTATATATAGGCTATGCATTCTCAGCTTAGTTACCCAGTTTGTGCGGAGAGTTGCGGTCGAATTGTTAGCATCCCTCTTTCATACTCAGGAGTTCTGGGGCCAAATCTCGGACCTGAAACTGTAAATCCTGAGTGAGATTCTTCCGTGATTTTTCTCAGTCCCACGAGGCTAATGACATAACTGTACCTTTAACTAGGCCACAGCCTTTCTGATCCACAAATCAAGAAGCGAAAGCATCATTTTATAAACCCAGAATAAAATAGATACGTCTTGTACCTTACCGCCATCTTTGAGCCGATTGTCTAGATAATGTGGGAGCCTCAACGTCTCATAACCCTATGGGCCTTCACGGCCTGGTACAGGGATAGCTTTACTTTTACTTCACTTCAGCCATGTGCGATGTACCTACACTATCGAATGAAGTGGAAGGAGTTCTAAAAGTACTATCGCAACATTCGCCAAGAGAGCCTGCGGAAATTCATGTCAGTTGCATGTAATGAAAAGATTTGGATAATTCTTTATATAAACACTGCTTATTGGTGCATGTGCCCAATAAATTATTTTATTTGCTAACTTACTTTTCCAACGACGTCCATGAAATTAAATCCTAAATATACTGTTACCGTGTACAGCGGAGTTAAATAGGGAAGCCTTTTCAACATAGTTGGCACTGTAAACAAGACACTTACTTGAGAGTTCAAACCCATTTATCTAGATTTGTAAATACAGCAACAATATAACAGTGTCAACTGAAAGTAAACACAATGCGTACACAGACGGAATAGGGGGACAGTATTCTTAAGTCCCAGCTCCCTCCAAGCATGAAAATAGTCCTCTATAAATCGACACAGTGGTATGCGCTTTGCGACAGGATGACGTATCTGTTTCATGCAGCACAAACATCCCCCAGTCCTCACATTCACACATCTATCTAACTTGTGACGTGTCCTTTCGTTCCGCACCGAAGTTATGCCTCAAAAAGAGAGGTAAGGGAGTGAAACCACTTGTATGAATTGACTAACTCAAGTGGAAACATCAAAACGTAAGAGAGATGTTAAACGCCAAAAAGTGTCTCTTGCTCCAATATCTTGATGCCAACGGTTCTCACGTTTGCGAGACGACCTCGCCAGCCTTCGAAAGTAATTTATATGTGACTAAAGCAGTAAGTGAGCCGGTCACGGTAGCCGAGCGGTCTAAGGCATGCACTGTCTTCGCTCGCTCGGAAGCCGGGATCGTGGGTTCGAATGTTTCCTGTGAGGTACGAACTGAATTCTTATATATTATTCTTATACACTGCCGGTCACGGTAGCCGAGCGGTCTAAGGCATGCACTGTCTTCGCTCGCTCGGAAGCCGGGATCGTGGGTTCGAATCCCACTCAGGGCATGGATGTTTAGTGTGTGTGTGTGCGTTTTGCTGTGTTTGTGTACAGGTAGAGGCCTTGCGACCAGCTGATCACCCGCCCAAGGAGTCCTACCGTATGTGTAAGATCTAGAAAAAGCGAAGTGAACGGAGAAGTTCATGGAGGTAGGCCTGGGCCCACTGGGGCTGTAGTGCCAAGGAAAAAGAAAAGCAGTAAGTGAAACTCGGAGATAAAGCTTTAAATGCATATTTACACGTCACGTGTAATTCACTTAGAATGTTCAAATATTCTTCACGCGGTGTGAGCTGTTTTCACAAACTAGAGGTGGAGATATGACTGCAGACTAAAGTATTTTACGTCTGGTATGAAGGAAATTCCACTACCGAATTGCAGAGGACCGAATCATGAGAGTATAAATTTTAGGGGAGGAAATGCCAATACCAGATTCCAGAAGTTGAGTCATGGCGGTATGACTATTATATCTGGTGTGGAGGAAATGCCACTGCTAAATTCCAGGAAACCTGTTAATGACGGTATAACCTCTACATCCTATACCACAGCCGCACTATGGCCCTGGGTTCGACTCAGCCTCTAACAGAAATGAGTACCGGGGGGGGGGGGGTAAAGGGCGACCGGCACGCAAGGCTGACAAACATACCGTCATCTGTGAGCCGATTGTTTAGAAAATGTGGGGAACTTCAACATCTCACAACCTTATGGGCCTTCTCGGCCTGTTACAGCGATAGCTTTACATTTATTAGCTTTTTATAAACTTTACATCTGTTGTTGAGAGAATGTCGCTATTAAACAGCAGAAGATCGAGTTGTGGTGTAACCATTGCATCTGGTATAGAACAAATGCCGCTGCCAAATTGTAGAATATCCTATGATGGCGACATGACTATTGCGTCGAGTGTTCGGTTCCCGAAGTACTACTCATGGAGCTGTAATCAGTTGTCTTGCACGTCCTTGAAGAAATGTAGCTAATTAAATAATATAGCGATTGAAATATCATATCTTTCTTTTACCTTGGCACTACAGCCCCAGTGGGCCTAGGCCTACCTCCATGCACTTCTCCGTTCACTTCGGTTTTTCTAGATCTTACACATTCGGTAGGACTCCTTGGGCGGGTGATCAGCTAGTCGCAAGGCCTCTACATGTACACAAACACAGAAAAACGCACACACACAAACTAAACATCCATGCCCTGAGTGGGATTCGAACTCCTGATCCCGGTTTCCAAGCGAGCGAAGACAGTACATGCCTTAGACCGCTCGGCTACCGTGACCGGCCTCATATCTGGTTTGGAGAAACAAAAATACGAAGAAAAAGTATTGAAGTATTTAACTTTATTTCTTGACAGTAATAAATAATTATTGTAGCTGACTCGTGTTTATATTCATTAATTAATGGAGACGCCTCCCGCACAGCACTGGCTGTACCCAAACGCTTTCAGGGGTTAGGGAAAGTTGACTGTTTAAATGTTTTCGTGGGAGGGACAGGAAAACTCAGAAGACTGTGAAAGTCGAGTACTTACCATTCAGTGACAGAAGTCCCTTCCCTTCCTCTAGAAGTCTCAAACTGGTGACGCGTTAGTTTGATGCCAACAGTAGAAAGTGACGGATTGTGTGTGTTGGCAGGGGAGTAGGGGTTGCTATACATTTTTACCTGATCTTGTCCTTACAGATCGCGTGGCTTTCTCATAATATCTAAGGAAAACACAAATGTAACTTTGCCCCATTACCTGAACACACCATCAAGGCTTGTAGGATTTTGAGGTAAGGCTCGGCGATAAATGGAAGTTCAGGCCACTTTCCTCCACTCCCCCCTCCCCGGTTGATTAGTTATCACCCATGCTCCGTGTTTTTAAGATCGCAGGTTCGATTCTCTGTGGTGAGACCAGATGTTCTGTCTGAGGTTTACTGAGTATGACGTCATAGAACCCGAGGCAGCTCAAGAACGATTCTTTCCACTTCGTAACAATTCGTGATCACCTCCAATTCGACGCTGAATAAATTTGGCAGCAGGATAGGTGTCGTCACGATAGGAGACAGCGTCATCCCATAACCACAGAGTAGGAAGGCTAATACTCGGCACACGCACGGTGTGGAGAATTGCAGTTTCGTGCTTTCACGAAGTAAATAAAGTGAACGCACAATACGAAAGTCACATGTGTCCATGAGTTTCGTCATCGAAATTACGTGATGAAGTTCGAAAGAAATTATGTGTCATAGATCAGAAAAAAATGCCTTCGTCAAATTGAAATTTATTTCTCAGCAGTTTCTTATGGTTTCTAATTTACATTGGCCTTAAAAACGTATCTCCTACAAAAACTTGGAGGTGGTACCAAGTACAGACCCCATTAAGGTATATAATTTTCATTTGAAACGTGTTCCTATATTGAGTAATTTTCTTACTGCATTGTGATATGTAGTGTGATGACGCCTCACAACCGTATGAGCCTTCATGGCCTGTTATGGGGATAGCTTTACTTTTTACCGGGAATTCGTCTGAAGACAAAGCAGATGTCATTTTGCTTAGTTAAGAACCGCGCCATGAAGGTGGATAGGATAGTGGAGGTATAGCTCCACATATTATTAATCTCGACACATGCCTTGATCCCTAATTCTTCGGTCTAGCATCCTATATTGTGTCTTTATACCTACTGAGCTATCCTAGCTCATTAATATTCAAAATTGTGTTTTTTTATTGCTAGTGGGATGGGACTAAGTCCCTTGTACTGCAGCCACTTCTGTACCAGCCCCAGATGATAGGTGAGGGTGATTGTGGAGCAATTGGTGGAATGAAGATTGGCAGGGGAAACCGAAGTACTCGGAGAAAACCTGCCCCAGCTCCACTTTGTCCACCACAAATCCCACTTGACCAGACCCGGGATCGAACCCTGGCCGCCGCGGTGGGAAGCCAGCGACTAACCGCTTGAGCTATGGCACGGCCCAAAAATGAAGTGTCAACAACACGTGGTGTTCCCAAGCGGTCACCATCCAAGTACTAACCACGCCCAATGGCCGTTGGCGTAACATCCCGATCTGGCGTCCCAGGAAACACTGGTCTCCATCACAAAGCCCAATCTGTCGTTTCTGTTTCTAAGTTAATAATTGCTCGTTAATGTGCGAATCATACGAAACCCACAAATATGCTGTGAGGGCAAAATGCAGAGATTTTTTAATGTTATATCAGATGGTATGTATAGTAACCACTGTGACTGCATCTTTCCACGCTTGACTCTCAGGTTTATAACTGAACAAGGAGGTGGACTGGCAGGAGACTCAGAAACCGATTATGCTTGCATAGAATAGTCTAGCTCCCTGCTGCAGACGCCGTCAGTTAACTGTGTTCGTCTTACAGGTCCACCTGAGGTCGCATTTCATAATGAACGGCGTCTGCGTGAGGTGGCGCGGATGGATCGATCTGGAGCGCCTGGACGGCGTCGGCTGCTTAGAGTACGACGAAGACAAGGCACAGGTATGAAACCCTCTCATTTATATCATTTCGTGATAGGACATAACGGCAAGACGCCGCTAAACTTCGTCTAGAATACCTGAAACAGCGCGTCAGCCTTTGAGTAGACAACCTCACGGAAGAGAGGGAGCCGGGATAGCTCAGTCGGTATAGCGACTGGCTACGGGCTGAACGACCGAGGGATCGGCATTCGAGTGAGTCCCGATACGGTCAAGAATTTTTTCTCTTCTCCAAATTGTCCAGACCGGCTCTGGGGTCCATCCAACCTCCTATACAAAGGGTACCAAGGGCTCTTTCCTCGGGGGTAAATCGGCCAGGGCGTAAAGCTGACCACACCTCCAGCTAGTGCGGAGGTCAAGAAAATGTGGCTCTATACATTCACTCCGCCATACGCCTTCATGGCGTAGTGCTTAATTAGTTAAGCACAGTGAGAAATTTACCTTTACCTATTTAAATGTAACAGTTCAGACGTACGGTTACACTTGGTTTCGTATCAATGGGAAATGGTTTGTGAAACAGTGTGTTAGAGTTCAGCTGAACGATATATGGACCACTTAAATTGAATGTCTGAAATGGGTAACCGCGGCGAGTAAAGGAGAATTTCTCGGAAAAATGAATAAACGAACCCCCAAATGGCTGTTGGTGCTGTGACGCGTACGAAACGGATCCATGAAGGAACCGAAATAATATTCAGTCTCTAATTTCTGTCTGTTTCTGTGTTAGCCCGTTGTAAATTTCTTTTCCCGTGCAACAATTTTGAGTAACAAAATAAGATAATACTTTCGCTGCGCTTAAATAAACACCACTTCATGAAAACGTTTGCAGGAACTGAGGAATGGCTCGACACACACTTAACCTCGATACTAGATGGAAGTGAGTGGTCAGCTTTATTCCCCGGCCTCTTTACTCCCCCATCCAAGAAAGAGTCCACGGTACCCATTCGATACGCAGCTGTTTGGGTTCCAGAGTACTTCTGCGTGTTGCGGAGAATATATCTATTACCCCTGCCAGGACTCGAACCCCATTTCCTCGGTCATCCAACCCGTTGCCTGGTTGCTACATATTGAATTTAAATTGTCCTGAAACAGTATGTATAAACATGATGTGAAACAGAACGGAGCCTTTTTTGGATGGCACTGAGAAACCAACGTTCATTTCAAAATCAGCCTCTTGCCCCAGGTGCATTGTAAAATTATACCAAAGCTCGTATCGCTACAAATTATGGATCTTACTTGAGCCACTGAGCAGTCACTACAAAATAGTAGGCCTATATAAATCAGGAATTCACATCTACTGCATAGACACGAAATTAAAAGAGTTTTCCTCTGTCAGTGTAACAAAAACCACATTACCTATATTCGGAAGAGCTCCACATTGACCCTGCCTGGGCCACTTCAGTTCAGTTTGCATATTCATATCATATTTCTCTAATCTGTAATTTGATATCATCCCAGCCACGCCTACATCTTCCAAGAGGCTTCTTCCTTTGGGGTTTCTCAACCAAATTTTCGTACACATCTCATTATCCATAGATGCTACATGTTCTGCTTGTTGATTAATCGCCATGACAGTATTAACTGACAGCTTAATTAGTTACTAGCTTCGAGATTGAGACTCATTTCCCAGATTTTTCCTTCGACACTTCCAAATCATTATCGAACGAGTATTAGGGTTAAGACGGCCCGGTCGCGAAGTTCGTCATTCAACATCATCTGCTGTCTATTCTGGGGCAGGCAAAGGAATCTGACGAATCGCCCTCCACTCCTAACCTCCGTCCCTGCGCTCCTCTGGCACTCCCATCTCTGGATTACTTGTTCTACAGCGTTATGTGAGGGGTACCAGCACGCAAGCTAGGATAGTAGTCGTGGAACGCACTCTCCCCTCCGAGCAAGACTTATCCCCAACGCCTGTGAGGAGTAGTTTAGCTTGTGGCCATATTTCCTCCCCACACACAGCTACGATTTCTTGACATTATGAATTAGGAGAAATTCATGCTTTAATAATATCATCTGTTAGTTAATAGAAGTTGTAAAGGTTCTCATTACGTAATTTTTGTTCAGTTTCTTAAGATTCTCTATGATCTTTTAAATTAGCCTCCTATTAACACTTTGGTGTCCACTGTGTTCTATTCCACTGTAACATAACAATTCTGTCTGCTTGCAGATGGAGGACTCCCTGCTGCGAGACCAGATTGAGCGCTATAACCAGAGATTAAGAGATTTCGAGGAGAAGCAGAGAGCATACCGCCAGCACCAGGAGCGTCCGACAGACCCAGACCTGGAGGTTAGCTATCATCCTTGTATCTAAACGAGAACTTGGGCGTGTATCTACACATGGACCGCGCCATAGCTCAAGCGGTTAGTCGCTGGCTTCCCACCGCGGCGGCCCGGGTTCGATCCCGGGTCTGGTTAAGTGGGATTTGTGGTGGACAAAGTGGTGCTGGGGCAGGTTTTCTCCGAGTACTTCGGATTCCCCTGCCAATCTTCATTCCACCAATTGCTCCACAATCACCCTCACCTATCATCTGGGGCTGGTACAATAGGCCAGAAGTTGTCGCAGTACAAGGGACTTAGTCCCACCCCACTAGCAATAAAAAGTAATCTACACTTAGATTCAAACCTGTGACAGGACATGTGTGATGTCGCAATGAGACAGAGCTGCCAAGTTACGATTTTGCAAGACTTCAGCTTCAAATGGGAAATCACACGTAAACTCGCCGTTCTCGGCTTTTACTCGGAAATCTTTAGCTTCTGCAAAATGTTGGGCTTCAGTTCTTAATGTAATATGTAAAAACAACCGTAAAACTTTATATGGATTGGTACCAACCGCCAGAAACACTTTATTTTCATGCACAAAATAAATGCGAAAATCAAGCGAGGGAGATGTATATTACAATAGCAGCAGAAAAGAGTGGCTGACGATGATTGGTTTAAATCTTACCACGTGACATTTTATTATATTTTAGCATCTCGTTTCATTGAGGCATTATCCGTATTATTACAGTACACGTCAATAAAGCAACAATATAAAAGACATCAAGAATATGTCACTTGCTACAAATGTATTTTAATACTTTATGATGTTAAAATCATTAAAATGTCAACAGGACACTAGAAGTATATTTTATACATTAAAAGTGATTATCAAAATTTCTCCAATGTCTCTAGTTTTACAACATGTTTCGGCCGCACATGGGCCATCATCAGGTGATTTTTCTTTTTGGTTTTGGGGAGACCACGTGACGATGAGTGCCAGGAATCTTCCCGAGGGTAATGGGCGGTGGCCGGTGCGTAAGGCTGACAACACTACCGCCATCTGTGAACCGATTGTCTAGAAAATGTAGGAACCTCGACATCTCACAACACTTTGGGCCTCTATGGCCTGTTACAGGGATAGCTTTACCTTTGCCTTTTAAGTTAATTTTTATTAGAAATATGTTCCCTTATGCTTTACAGAATTAAAATGAAGTGCACTGTACTGTTTACGTGCTTTGCCAACAATACGCTTATAGGCCAGTTTATGAAAGATGAATTGGATGATCTCTGCTATTGTATAGAACTGTGGGCGACTGATGAAGTCTCTCTGTACTTAATTATTAAGTTATGGAAATTTAACTCCGGTCGTTCTTAACCATTGACACACACTGGAGGCGAGTTGTTAGCTACCTGCTCCGTACCACTTTACCCCCGTGGAAAGATGTCCCGATACCCGTATGATAGAATTCTGCATGGGCCAGGGCTGCGCAGAGAAACTTCCGTTCCCACTACTAATCCGGTCACACTGACTGACTGAGCTACCTGATTGTCTAACTGTAATTTGTACCCGTAATAAATGAACATGAGAACCAGTGGTGGTTGCAGAATCTCTAATGAAGCGCCTAGCAGCTATTTGTACTCCAAATTGGAGTACTGATGCTACTCCATGGGACCCTCTTGTACACTAATGATCACCCAGGAGTTGCATGTGTGGACGCCATAGCGTGTATGTTTGAGCTTTTGTTTATGAGAGACTCTTCGTTTCATGGCTGGTGGGGCTAAGCATTTAAACTAGACCTATTATTAGAGAAACAAAAGAGGGTTGTCATTTGTTGTTAGTCATTAAAGAGTTCTGCTGACTGTAGGTGGGTATATTTCTTCAGTTCATTTACTAGGGCGTCAATTAGTGAAATTGGACCTTATGGAAAATTTAAACAATCCCTACTGAATGAGGTGCTATTCAGTGCGGGCGTCAGAGCGAGCGCTTAGGACATTTTTCTTTCCTTTGAAATTGCAAGGGGAATTAGAGCCAGAGGGTACAGTGAGGCTAACAAAAGGCGGGGATTGTGTACAGTCCTACTCTAAGTACATAATCTGATATTGTATACCGCCTTCAGAGCTTGAGAAGTGTAAAGACGCCTCTGGTACCACTTCAGAGGGTGCAGCGTTGTTCGTTCTCTGGATCAAGGAGCCATATTTGGCACAGATAGCGGGTCAACGGATCAATTTATTCTGTAATCGACAGTCACTGTATACCTTCTGCGTTGTCTGTTTGAAGAAATCATAAATAGAAACATAAAGCCCTGAAAATTAACTTCAAATACCCAGCGTTCCTTTCTCTTCCTGTATTTCTGTAGCCTTGCAGTATGGACTCGGCTTTATGGACTTATGGATCCAGTGAAATTCAATGTGCATTTAGTTAACACCGGTCAGTTAAAATAGGTTTATATTACCATCACCTTCAGGGGTTCTGCTGCTGACCTTACCCGCAACTACAGATTGCTTTGTCTTAAATATACTTCACACATATTGCCGTGCCATAGGTGAGGCTTCTCACCGCGGCGGCCCGGGTTTGAGCCCAGGGCGGGTCATGTGGGATTTATGGTCGACAAAGTGGCGCTGTGGCTGGTTTTCTCCGAGTACGGTTTTCCCTGCAAATTCTCATTCTAGCGACTGCTCTGTCATCCAGGACTGGAACAATAGGCAAATTAGCGACCGGCTTACCAAGAGAACTCATTCTCATTCCATCCCAAAAAACTAAAAGGAACTACTTCACACGTTGTAAAAGGAGCGACAGATTTTCTCTTTGCCACCCCGTCCAGACCGGCGTTGGGGCCCACCCAATTTCCGATCCAGTGGGTACCGAGGTATATTTCCCTGTCAGCATAGTGGCCGTAGCGCGACGCTAGCCTGTCACCTCTAGTACCGAAATCACGAAAGACTGGAGTTGTACCTTCATGAGCACCATGAGGAGACTGGAACCAAGATGGACTGACTGACCAAATGCCTTGGAGTTCTAATTTATTCATGTTTTCTGAATTACATGTAAACTTTTTCATTCGAGACAGTTAGTAATATTTCTTATAGCTACAACCATTTTAAAAAGAATGCTTAGAATGGAGAGCAATTTCTAGACGGGTTTCCATCACCTATAAAATCTCTGTGCCTATAGAATAGCTATAGAATCGCTTAACAGATTTTCATTAAATGTCAATATAAGGAGATTCTGTGAAATATAATGTTCAGAATAAAATAAAATTTGCCGGCCAATTCTAGTTTGGGTTAAAATCGGAAAACATTAATGGTCACTTTAATATAATCCTTAGGCACGCGGTAGTGTGTTTGGTTGAGGCACTATGCTGCAAGCCGGAATGTCGCGGGTTTATTTCCCGATTAGGTAATTGAATTTTTCGGTTAATCTAATCCTTCCAGCCGCACTATGGCCCAGGAGTCGACTCAGCTTCTAACAGAAATGAGTACCAGGAATCTTCATGAGGGTAAAGGGCGGTCGGCGCGTAAGGACGACAACCTCACCGCCATCTATGATCTGATCGTCTGGAAGATGTGGGAGCCTCGTCGTCTCACAATCCTATGGGCTTCCACGGCCTGTTACAGGGATGGCTTAAATAGAATCCTGTAGGCTGTGCATCACGGGCCTAACTCGATTCTAACCTGCAAATCATTGTTTCAAGCAAAATTATTGGAAACCGAAGCTGTAAACTTCCCAGGTGTCTTAACGATTTTCGATATCTTCGATTAAAAGGGGGGCAAACGCATCAGAATTGTTACAATAGCCGCAAGTCCATATTTTCTAACTTGTTATAGTTTATAACCTCCATAACGACAGCACAAGCAACTCAAGAGGAAGTTGCATGTAAACAAGCCACCGCAGTACCCAGAACATGCAGATCTAGAGACAACTGTACGTACAACCATGCCGCAGCGCCGAATTTTGCGCAGCAACATTTTTTAACGGATACAATTTAATAAACTTTCAAAGAACTTTTAATTATCCATATGAAAATATAATTTAAAAAATTAACTTCAGAAATTAACATCGAGTATGGATATATGACAAAGCATGCAATGAAACAATCTTAGCAGGACTCTAAAGTATAGCTGACGATGGCCGTACACGGCCGAAACATGTCATAGTAAGATGAGATGTATAGGAGACAGAAAATAAACGTCGCGTTCAAGACTGCAATAAATATGTAACCAACTGTTGTTACGTAGGATATAAAGTACTCACGACGGCCATATGCAATGATGTTTACTTGGGCGATCAGCACGGCATTGGCATTCTCACGTGTCTGGGGCTCCTTGACTAATAATAACGAGGTTTAGACTGGATGACTGACTTTATGAACACTCTATACACCTCTCCCTTAATCACAATCAATCTTCATCCGAACCTTCCTTCCTTAACTGCCGAGGACTCGCTCCATTCTCGTTCTCTTTTAATTCTGTTCTGTACTACTTATATAGTCTCGAGGCGGATCCATAGAAAACACATCCGTTGGCCAGCAGTGGATATATGCGAACCACATAGAAAATATCTCTTCCTCTGTTGTTTTATTTACAACGCGTTGCATAGTAACGGAAGTTATCCGTTTGTTGCCTGCGTATTCGTCGTCTCGGGAATGTGTTTACCGGGTCGTTGCCCAGCAACGGGTCTATATATCACAGTATCATATATCTTCAGCGATTAACGTGACAGATGAGACAACTCTCTACTGTTGAATGGTGGGGACTGCTCAGCATCGCGAATATCAGATCCCCATAAGATGCCATTCTTTTTGTTAATCATCAGAATGTATCCCTTCGATCCTGGCCACCCCTGACACAGTCAACAACCGTTGTGATTCTACACTCATACAACAGCACCTGAATTCAAACTTGGCTATGCGCCTCATTCTGGGGCTTCCGATAGCTCGAGGCTTTGCTTGCTAGCAGCTAGCTAGAAAGATAAAAAAAAATCCAAACCATCCATCAGCTGAATAAGGAAACAAAGCAAAGAGGGGTCTT